TACACCAGACTAACACGGCTGCCCAGCCCCCACAGGAGATAGCCAAACCCTTCTCCTGCCAGTCTAGGGCAAATGTTTCAGCAGGGCCAGGGACCGTGCTGCCTAGGGGTGTAATAGTGTAGTCAATTAACCAATTCATTATAGGTTAATGCTATAGACTACATGCATTCTCTGGCCCCACCCTCAGACGGGGGCTGCTGCCGCCCTGCACTGCTGCCTCTATATCAGAGGTACTGGGCGACAGGCAGACGGTCTGTGATGGGGGCTGGTTTTTAAACTGGCTCCCCTCGCGGACCAGCTCCCACCTGGCACCCCCCGCCGAGTGGCAGGGGAGTCCTCGGGAGTGGGGCTGGAGCACACTGGTTGCCAGGCCCGCCCCAGGGACTATCAAATAGTCGATGAACCGATAAGAATTCACGAGGTTACTTGGCTATTCGATTAACCGATATTTAGCATCCCTAGTGCTGCCTGGCTAGGAATCCTGCCCAGCGGGAAAGCAAACGGGGGGGGCGGGGCTTGCCCTGGGGGCCGCGAGCGGGGCTTTGCTGGACTCTCTGGCAATCGCACACGTGGGCAGGCGCTCAAGGGCCGGGAGCGGTTGGAACAAACAAAGTTCAGGGCACTGGCTGAGATGGGAGCTGAGGGCCCTCCGCTCCTCTGCCTCGCTGTTATACAGCCCCCACGGCTGAGGGAGCAAGCCTGTCAGGCGCCGAGCTCCCTCCCCTCCCCCCAGCCGGCCGTGGGCAGGAGGCGATGGTGCTCGGCCTGTGGCTGACTCAGGCCTGTCATGCACAAGAGCAGGGCGTGGGCTCTCCCTGGGCTCCGACCCCCAGCAGCCTCCCTCGCGCTGCGGGATAAAGCGCCTCATCTTGCCTGCGCAAACTTGGCTGCCCCCTCACCAGGAGACGGCTGCTTGGGCTCCCACCCGCCACGTCCGAGCGGCTCATAGCGCAGCCCATGCTGGCGGCCAGCTTCCCCGCGCGGGCACATGGGAGATCGTCCAGCTCTGACCATCCCACGCACTCCCCCGGGATCTCCTCCACCAGGCTGTGTGCTGGACACTGGTATTACCCACCCTGCCCACTGTCGCTGTCATGAGCCCTTAACGGCACACAGTCCTCCTGGAAAGAAAGACAGCGGAGGAACTGGCATTTTCCACGCGGGAGCCAGAACATCCCCGACCCCCTTTGCCCTGCCCCCAGCACCCTCCCTCCCCCCGCATGGACAGAACGGAAACAGACAGCTTAACGTGTTTTACTAAACTGTACCAGGCTCTTCCTTCCCTGGCTGATCTCGGCAATGGCAGCCCATTGGGAAAACCTGCTTCCTTCCTCACAGTGACCGGAAAGAGTCACAGAACCGTGAACCATGGAGGGGCCACGCTCCAACGGAGAGGGGCACTGGAGGGTGGGCCAGGGTAGTGCAAGGATATGACGCTGCAGCCTTAGTGGCCAGGGCAGGAGACTGATGGAACCATGAACCCTGACACAGGAGCTGGCCATGGTGCTAACTTGATAGCACTGGCTGGTCCTCCAACTACCCAGTGCTGGGAACTCAGCTGTTATCCACCACAGCTTCTGCAAGGGGGTCTGAAAAGAGAACATCTGAGCTTGTGGGGAGGGGGAATCAAGGAAGGAACGTAAGAACAGCTAGACTGGGTCAGACCAAAGGTCCATCTAGCCCAGTGTCCTGTCTGCCCACAGTGGCCAATGCCAGGTGCCCCAGAAGGAACAGAACAGGGAATCACCCAGAGATCCATCCCATCACAAACTTCCAGCCTCTGACAGACAAGAGGCTAGGGACACCATTCCCACCCGCCTTGGCTAATAAGTATCAATGGCCCTAACCTCCATGAATTGATCTAGTCCTTTTTTGAACCCCGTTTAAGTCCTGGTCTTCACAACATCCTCTGGCAAGGAGTTCCACAGGTTGACTGCATTGTATGAATAATTCCTTTTGATTGTTTTAAACCTGCTACCTATTCATTTCATTTGGTGACCCCTAGTTCTTATGTTATGAGAACAAGTAAATAACTTTTCCTTCTTCACTTTCTCCCCACCGGTCATGATTTTATAGACCTCTATCATATCGCCCTTAGTCTCTTTTCTAAGCTGAAAAGTCCAAGTCTTATTAACCATGCTTTATATGGGACCCATTCCAAACCCCGAATCATTTTTGTTGCCCTTTTCTGAACCTTTTCCGATACCAAGAGATTTTTTTCAGATGAGGCAACCACATCTGCATGCAAAATACAGGACTATGTAGCACTTTAAAGACTAGCAAGATGGTTTATTAGGTGATGAGTTTTCGTGGGCCAGACCCACTTCCTTTGATCTGATTCTGGAAGAGAATTGGCATGACCGTATATACCAAAGGAATACAATGAAAAAAGTCTAAAAAATAGGTATATATGGTGTGATGTAGTGGGAAAAATAGTGGAAGAAAATAGTCACAACCATATATACCAAAGGATACAATTAAAAAAAATGAACACATATGAAAAGGACAAATCAAATTTCAGAACAGAACAGGGATGGGGGGGGGAGGTGAATGTCTGTGGGCTAATGATATTAGAGGTGATAATTGGGGAAGCTATCTTTGTAATGGGTAAGATAACTAGAGTGTTATCTTCTGTTATCTTCAGTTCTGATATTTGATTTGTCCTTTTCATGTGTGTTCATTTTTTTAAATTGTATCCTTTGGTATATATGGTTGTGACTATTTTCTTCCAGTATTTGATCTGAGGAAGTGGGTCTGGCCCACGAAAGCTCATCATCTAATAAACCATCTTGTTAGTCTTTAAAGTGCTACATAGTCCTGTATTTTGCTTCAGCTACCCCAGACTAACACGGCTACATTTCTATCACTATTCTACATCTGCATGCAGCGTGTGCGTACCATGGTTTTATACAGAGGCATTACAGTATTTTCTGTCTTATTCTCTATCCCTTTTTAAATGATTCCTAATGTTTGCTGTTTTGACTGGTGCTGCGCACTGAGTGGATATTTTCAGAAAACTATCCACCGTGACTCCAAGATCTCTGTCTGGAGTCGTTACAGCTAAATTAGTCCCCACCATATTGTATGTATAGTTGGGATTCTTTTCTCCAACTTTTTATCAACATTAAATTTCACTTGTCATTTTGTTGCCCAATCCCTTATAAAACATTTCATGTGACTCTGATTTTTCTATCCAGGAAGGAAAGCGAGAAGATGGGGACGCCTGGCGGAAGCTTTGCTTTGTCACTGAAGAAGCGGCTGCAGGGCTGAAAGTTGGAGACGTCGCCTCGCTGCCTGTAAGTCAGAGGAGGGGGCAGAGTCCAGGAAGCACAAAGGCAGCAGTTCACCAAGTTTTTATTTGAGTTAGAGGCTCCTTAAAAAAAATTCAAACCAAGAGACGAATCAGCAACTCAAATTTTCAACAGTAACAACTAACAATGCGGGTCCGAGCTTGCGGGCCTGCCACGGAGCAGGACTTTCCGACTGTGTGAGGTGCCCGCCCTCTGAGAATCAGGCCCCTCTGACAGCAGCTCCCCAACTCGGGACTCACTTTGGAAAACTGAGATCAGTGCATTCAGCCGGCAGGACTGGCAGAGGTTGGGAACTACCATTAACAGATTAGCCGGATGTGACTGACAATACAACAAAGAACCACCCGCTGGAAAAGCCCTCCTGTAAAATGTAAGGGGAGTCACAGCTCTAAGTGGCTCCCCCCGGTCTTCTCTCTCTCCCCCTCAACAATAAAACCCACCATGATCTCAGTGACTCCAACCCACCCCAGAGCACAGGGACCTCTCCCAAACTAAGGGAGCTATTACAGATTCGACTGTGCACAGGGGGAGGAAAAAAGCCATTCTCCCCGTGTCCCCCCCGCGTATTCCTCTTGTGCATTTGAGAGACAGTCACTGCTATCTTCCCACGAGCTGTGTATGACTCCCTCACTGCAACAGGGGAGAGAGCCAGACTTCCAGACAGACCGAAGCCATCAGAAAATCCACACAAGGGCAGGATCTGAACCAAACGGGAACTTTTTACCAACTGACTGGATTGCATGTTGGTGTCCTTACACCTCGGGGCCAGATGTGCAGCGGGTGACAATTGGCACAGACCCAAGCAACTGGGTCTAGCTCTGAGAATCCGGCCATGCCGTTCCTAAGGCAGAAATGCAAAGAATCAATCCATTGTCTCTCCCAGCTCTCCCTAATCACTTACTCAACAGGCAGCTGAAGGGCCAAGAACAGGGGAGAAGCCACAGAGGCCTTTAGATGCCTGTTGCAGCAGCCACACTACCCCTTCCTGCTTTGGCCCCTCCGTGGCTCGCTGCACTCTAGGCCAGGTCGGAGACACACACACGTGGCCAGCTGGAACGTAGGGCTCGGTCACAGCAAGGTCGTCGAGACCAAGTCGTTCCCGGACCGGGGAAGGGACGTGAACGTTCCTCTCTAGCAACCGACAGCTGAGCCAATCCCAGAGCGAACAGCACGTCACTCCCAAGGAGGCGGCACAAGCGAAGCCCGGGAAGTGACAATCTTTCCCCTAGAGTTCTCCTACAGCAGTTCCGGTTGTGAATAACACACTCCACGCCGCTTTCGGTTCTCAGCACACGGCAGTCATGTTTCAACGGGTGTTAGGTTACAAGCGGCAAGGGATTCCCCCAGGGTAGCAAGCATGGAAAGGGACGAGACC